TGCTAGCCACCCCCAGGGTTGGTTGCCCCTTTTTTTGCCCCATGCAAGTTGGCAGAGCCAGATGCTTGTATCACCTTTTTTCTAAAAAACCAAAGAGGCCAGAGCCAGAACATAGAACCTTCTGGGTGTAGAGCATTTGCTCTACTGCTTAGCTGTAATCTCTCCCAACTTCAAAATATGACTGTTCTTCCTCTACAAAAAGGTTCATCATTAGCCTATATCCTAAAATTATATTTTTAACAACTCCCTCATGATGTCCAATTCAAACACATCTTTCAAAATTGCAAACCATTCTTATACAGCATGTACCAAGGTGATCAGATGTCTCCTGCAACGGTTCTGTCATTGGCACTATTTACATTTATTAACTTCAGCCTGCATTGGTTGCATTAGTGAGAACAACTGTAGGAACTATGCTGGCTTCTCAAAGAGAGAGAACTAGTCTTTTCCCAGGCATTTCCTGCTATTCCTGTTAGGAACCTTAATGATAAACTAAACTGACAACCAGATATTTTGCAGATTTCTTTCTGAAAGCAAAACCTCTTGTGCCATTTGGGGGTGGTGGTAGTGGGAATAACTATGAATCAAAGAAACATAAATTTATTACCTGTTTCAATGTCATCTATGGAGCCTAATCCATTGGTCTGCAGAAGGGAGAAAAATCAATCAGTTCTCTTTTGACTAAATTCAGTTTCCTTTTCCAATTTTTTACAAAGAACTACTATAATCTAGAAGAACAGAAATACAAGATTGGACTCCCTGTGAAACTATGCTCTGGAGTGCGAGTTGTCCCTTTGTGATTGGCTGGATCCTATGATAATCAATACTGTGCAGAACTGATTTTTTTATTGTTACAACAGTCAGTCAATCAACATTCCATACAATCAGCTTCTTCTGAAAACAGGAAGAATTACTTACTCTTAACCTCTCTGGAGGAATGTTATACTGTATATCTAATATATGTTATATATCTAATAATGCTAATAAAAGGTAAATGGGCATCCACAATGTTCTTAACACTTGAATTATGTATAGTGAGATACATTCTTCATTATCTTTTCATGTGGATTACCCCCAAAATGGTTGTTCATTCCTTTCTTTAATATATTTGAAATAATAATATTTCAGATGGGCCAGGGCTCCAATGCCTTCAAGAACTGGACACTTAAACTGATGCTATTTTCATTCACCACTGCATTTCCATGCACGTGTTGAAACTCTGCTCTTTTTGCAATTATTGAAGACCCCAAAACTAGTCCCTACTGCTGAACAGTGTTCTATACAAATTAATGACTAAATAAATAAGATCCAAACAAGTTTAAAATACTTGGGGGGGGGGTTAACACAAGTGGGCTAAAGTTGAGAAACATGCTCTAGAGGTAGAGGATCTCCAGTGCCAGCTTTTAGACAGTGTATTTCAAAGTGGGCGATACTGCCCCTGGGGGTGTTTCAATTATTCAGAGGATCATTAAGCAGTAAGGGGGCAGCAGGGGGGCATTAAGACGGCAAGGGGAGAGCAGGAGGAGCAATTAGGATTATAATAGCAGAAGATTGCACATAACTTATCCAACAAATTTTATTAAGTGTGTAAAGCTGTAAACATATACTTTGATAATTGTAAGTACAGGTGGTCCTCAGTTAACAACCACTCTTTCAGTGACCGTTCAAACTTATGACAGCGCTAAACAAGTAGCACTTATGACCAGTCCTCAAAGTTTCAGATTTCCAACTGTCACAGCATCCTGCGGTCATGTGATTGCGATGTGCCGCCTTCCCTGCCAGCTTCCCACAAGCAAAGTCAATGGGAAAGCCAGCAGGAAGTCAGAAGTTGCAGTCACATGAGGTCCTCGCTTAATGACCCATAGTGATTTGCTTAACAAAGGTAACCGGGGACTGTCAGAACTGCTGTCACTAAGCGGCAGTCATGTGACATCACGCTTTATGACATTGCTTAACAACAAAAATTCTGGTCCCAATTACCATCATTAAGCAAGGACTATCTATATATCAAACTTTAGAATATTCAAAATAGTATCGTGCTTCGACCACATGCTGACAGCATGAATCGTATGATCATGCTGGGTATTACCACAACTGTATGATTCACCAAAACAAGAGCTGTACAATAATTAAAAACAAGATTATAATTCACACACACACAGGACCGAGGGCATTACAAAAAACTTGGTACAACTAAGGGAGTGGTGACCCAAAAAATTTTGAGAAAGGCTGGACTAGAGAGATCTGGATAGTAGAAACCTACATCTCTGGTAACGACTTTATGTAATAAAGAAAGTTTTAAACATTTCGCATTTTAACCATCTTTCATTCAAGGCAGCAGACACAGAGTTCTCAAAGAGTTCCCATTTGCATCTCAATTAAACTCAAATCTGCTTAATTTCTGATCATGTACTTTCAGACTGCGCCTTGAAAGCAAGCCTTAAGTAATCAAAAACATTAGGAGAAATCAATTCTTCCCAACTTACTCTATTGCTGTAAGATGTAGTCATCAAGAACTGGACCTGGACCTGAAGTTTTACACTTTGAAAACTGTTGTTTTTCAGAAAAGTGAAAAACAAAAGGCCAGCTCTTGGAAGAATATTTTTTCTTGTTCAAATCATATAACCGAGAATGAAATGTTGTCATCCATATCTTAAATATCTCCACTTATCTTTAAACATTTTTTAAAATTTTAAAATGTTCAAAAATTATTTATAAAAATAAAATGCAGATATACAAGTTATGTATATTTGGTTGCGACTCACCCAGAGTTTGGTTTTAAGGTGAGTGGCCGTATAATTGTTTTAAATAAATAAAAATAAATGTAGCTCACTTTCTCTGTGAGTTTCAAATCCCTTGTCCGCAAGGATGTCTGGAAACTTTGGCTGGCTGCATACCTCTAAGTGGGGAATGTTAAGATGCCCTTCAGATGGGTGATGCAGCACTCCATCAACACAACATTTGGTTGTAACTATCTCTTGCCTTTTTTATCCACATGTTTAAATTAAGAACTTTACATAACAAATTATGTCCATACAAGCAGGAAAATATGTTATCCATTATATCAATTCCACTGAAACTGTTTAAACAATAAAGATATACCTGATTTGGTAAGGCAGATGTCAGGCCATTACTTAGTAGGGAAAATGTTTCCAATTCCTGCTGCAAGGAAGAGAGAGAGGAAGTAGCAGATACTTAACAAAGAATGGTAAGTGACATATTTCCAATGAAATGTCAGCTTTAATAGGTGTAAAAGAGTTAAGCTTACGGATTTGGGGAAAGATAAAAACAAAGTAAGTGTGCGTACTGTCACAGGAAATAGGGTTGGATGCAAGTATCATACCTGAGGCCTCTTATATGCTTTCCGGATCCTTAATCCCAACTTCTGTGCAAGTTCCTGGCCCAATTGGACCACACTTTCATCCTTCAGCAGAGAAAACAAAGATTATTTCCAGTTATGGTAGTCACAGATAATACAAAACTGATGTCTTACCTATTTTATTGGAAGTGAAAAGTACAAAAAGTAAATGCTTTAATCTTGTATTATTTGTAATAATTATGATTTTTTTTTTTTTAGAAAGCCCATAGCAACTTCATACACAGTGAAATACATTTTACCTAGTTTTGGATGGTTCTATCCTTTACTCCTTCAATTCAACTGAACCCCTTTAGGTAGCTCCTATTAACACTTTTTATCACCATAAAGAAAAAAAAATCTGAATCAATCTTCTTTACTTTCCTATGAAACAAATCCCTACCACACTGTGAAATTAATTAGGAATTATAATAGCTACAAGATCCTTAAAAGTTACAATAGTATGTCATCTATAGATTTTTACTCCAAATATTTCATTATATATCATATATCGTTATAGAGTGTTATCGTGATCATACAGAGATTATTCATTAGAACCAGATCTCAGACTTTTGTAACTTAGTAATGCAGAGATAAGGGATATAACATTGTTACACACATCTACAGTACATATGTTAATAAAGATAGACCTCACTTACCAATGGCAATTGGGACCGGAACTCCATTGCTAAGCGATGTGGTCATAAAGCGTGATGTCACATGACCGCACCGACTTATGACAGCAGTTCCAGCAGTCCTAGTTGCTGTCGTTAGATAAATCCTGCATGGTCGCAGCATTCCAGGGTCATGAGATCGCCATTTGTGATCTCCTGACAGCTTCCCTATTGATTTTGCTTGTTGGAAGCTAGCACTGAAGGCCACAAATGGTGAACATGTGACTCGCAGGATGCTGCCCCATCATAATTGCAAGCTGGTTGCCAAGCACCCAAATTGCAATCATGTGACCACGGGGACTCTACAATGACTGCGGCTACAAGGACCTATTGTAAGTACCCCTCGTTCAGTGCCACCATAACTTCAAACAGTCACTGAACAAGTGGATGTTAAATGAGGACTACCTGTATATCAGGCATCACATAAAATTAATGCTGTTAAATTAACTCTATGTCAGTAAAAATGTTCCAAGATCAGACTTTTCATAAGCTTTTAATTTACACAGACTCACATTAAAATATTTGACAAAAAATAGATCTCTGTGGATAAGAGTTAATCTCAGAAAAAAAAAAAAAAAAAAAAAAATGGGAAGAACCCTAGCTACTTGATGGCTTTATTCTGGATGTGACTAGGGGAGTAATTATTATTATTAGATTTTTTTCCTGCTTTTTTTATATATAACTCAGGGTGCAACCATACCAAATGCTCCTGCCTCCTATGTTCCCCACAACAACCCTGTGAGGTGGGTTGGGACTGAGAGTCACCCACCCAGCTTACTATTTCCATGGAAATAGTCGTAAAAATAGTGCAATGATTGTGTTAGAACATTACGATAACATATAACAATAAAAGTAATAATTTTGCTTGAAAGTAAACAATTTAACATTGATTATCCTTCAAATAATTTATGTATATGTGCATGTACCTGTAGGGTTGAATGCTGTAAATTGGGTTTAATATCTGACATAAGGACAAGTACTGTACAGTGAAGATACTTTGGATATTACTGGCTATTGCATTGGACTGCAATCCCCCACTGCCATCCATTAGCTTCTTTGGCTTTCTTTTAAATAAACAAAGCACATTAGAAATATCAATGAATGAAGTTTTTCAAGTAAATTAAAAAAAACTTAACTCTGATGGCATTTCCAGAATATACACAGAAGAGCAATTTCAAAACCCAGCATCCTGAGTATGTATCAGTACATTGCAAGTACTTCCTTATTCTTGGGATGTAGGCATTTTATGTAAGCCTTGATTGAACAAAACCATAAAGGGCAGTGGAAGACACTATCTATGGGCCGATCAGGTGACAACCATGGCACAGGGAAAATTTAGGTTTGGATTCAAGAGGAGTAAATGATAAAGAGCAAGAATAGTAGAAAGAAAAAAAAAGACCGCGCCTGTAAAACTAAGAGAAAGAGGAAGGATGTAATTAGATCTGAAGGAAGGTGGCTAATCTTTCAGAGTACAGTTGATGAATACATGAAGGGGACAGAAGATATAGATATAATTATTAATGAAATGAGAACATCTGTTAGAAAATATGAACTGGCATCATCTAAGTTGCAGGTATGTATGACAGTAAGAATCCAAAGATTGGTGATAGTTTTATATTATGCTAAATAATCATAATGGAAGAACCAGGGATGCGCTTGGGGGGAAAACTGCAATGATATGAACGGATGTGATTCAGGAAAAATAATTATTCTACCGCCTGAATGGATGGATGGAAAGAAGACAATGGGATACAGAAAAGATGACTGGACTACTCAGAAAACCAAATACAAACAAGAATCATGACTGTCTGGCAACTAACTGCTTAGAAAAGGTCTGTTTTAAATACACAGTTTAAGGATAAATCTATTCATATGTACAAAGAGTAGAAGAATGAATATAAGTATTGAAGCATGACTGACTTGACTGTTAATGAAGAAAAAAGATTTAAAGCATTAGTGAAAATGGAAGGGTGATGAAAGATTCTGGCTCTGGGACTGAGCTTTAAACAGGAATATTAAGAATGGATCTTGGGAAAAAATAGACATGGAAGAAAAGGAAAAAAGTGAAAGAAACTAGAGGGAAAGTAGAATAACTGCAGGGAGAAAAAGTGTGAGTTGATATGAAAAGGTATTAAAAAATAAGTGTAGCTCCTAAGAGAATGAATGGAAAGTAGATATAAGGAAAGAGGATGTGGAAACTGCCTGAAAGAGAATGAAAACAATTATGTAACAAAGTGACACAGAAGCATATGGAGTTAATTCAAGTTTCCAAACAATAAGAGGGTGAGAAGAGAAAGTCATGGTTAGATGGAACTGACAAGATTCTCAAGAAAAAAAGAGGTGAAATTTTTAAAGAACAAAAGTCAATGTAGGAGTGGTTACTGACTAACGGGAACAAGAACGGTCTGCAAAAATAGCAAGTCATGGAAAGGTGAAAGATGTTAATGTAAACTAATTTTAGCTTTCTTATTTTATGTCTTTAATTTCTTGGATTTGCTACTTCTTACTTCTTTTCTACTCTGTGTAATAGTGCTCATCCTGAAAGGAAAGCAAGATAGCTATGTATGTCTCTATGCACAAACCTATGCAAGGAAACATTTCAGTGTCTATGCTGTTTGCACAGAACTAAAGTATATCCACTTTTGTTCTCAAAATATTCTGTTTCCATAAGAAGTTTGAGTTCATTTAGTTTGCATTATTTATTCCACTTCCAGTGCTTTTTATAGCACTGTCCCCATGTGACAGTAAGTGAGGGGTGGACAAAGCAGAAGGAGAAAAAGGCAGGGACATGAGGAAAAGCAAGCAGCAGTTATTGTTAGAGGATGGACAGGGAGCCTTTATCAGAACTGACAGAGAAGCTCATGTTTTGATTGGAAAAAGTGCTGCACTGGTTGCTGGTTTGCTTCCAGGTGTGATCTGAGGTGCTGATTGTTACCTATAAAGCCCTACATTGCACAGGGCTGGTTACTTGAGGGAGCACCTGTCTTCTGCAACATCTGCCTGGCCACTTTGATCCTGCAGGGTTGGCACGCTCTGTGTTCCTTCAATTAAACAATGTCATCTATCAGGACCCCAGAAGCACACCTTCTCTGCAGCAGCACCTGCCCTCTGGAACAAGGTTCCTCCTGAGATCCGGATGGATCCCACTCTGCTATTGTTTAGAAGAGCTCTGAAGATCTTGTTCTTCACCCAGGTGTTTGGCAAGGGAGAGCGAAACCCCTCACTTCATTCCATCTCATCTGTCACACTTGCCATATTTTATCTTTATTTTTTACTGATTTTATTGTAATTTCTTTGTTTGATTGTTGTGAGCCACCAAGAGTTGTTGAAAGGCAGGCAGCATACAAGTTTAATGTATCATTATCATCATCATTATTAAAGTCTATAAACAATGTCACATTTGTGCTTCATATAGAATCATTCCATTTATTAGTTTGATTATGGTCTGGAAGCTTCACAGAATTCTTGAAAATAATTTTTAAAATCTAGAACGCAGTAAAAGATGCTACAACTTTGATGTCATTTTATCCATTTGAAACCTTTACCTGTTTTTTATTAATAATACAGAATATTTAGAAAGGAGGAAACTACTACTTACATGCGGGAGGGAGAGCAAACAGCGGCTGTTACATTCATAAGCTTCCTTGTGCTTTCCTAGCTCACTCAAGCAGCGGGCCTTCCGAAAGAGAGCACGGATGTTCTCCTTGTTGAATCCCAGAGCTTTCTCACTATCTTCTAAAGCTTTTTCATGTAGGCCCTTTTAGAAAATCAGTAAATGTAATCATGAGAATTTTAACTCAAACAGAACTCTCACATGTCCCACCCAAAAAAGGGATCCTATTTCATTCACTGCACTTATGCACGCTTGGTAAGGGGAAAAAAAGGAGCAAAGAAGATCCTAAACAGATGAGGGTTATACCAGAAGCACCTAACAAACAATATGGCCTTTCAGATAGTAGATAGTAGCTGTATATTTCCTTCTCAAACAGTTTACAATATACACCTTCCACTTGTCAAAGACCTGAGAAAAATTACCGTATTTTTCCAACTATAAGATGATACTTTTTTCTAAAATCCTTACACTAAAAATTGAAGGGCGTCTTATTCAAG